GGGTCAGCCTGAAGGTGACTTACCTGCGCTGTGAAGTAATTTCATTCTGCCTTTTCTCTGTTCCCTTGTTAGGCAGTACGAAACCACCTGCTGCTTTGCTCTTCAATATTAACATTCTCTTGAGCTTGTGATTTGTGCCACCATCAATGGTGGATGTGAACTGTTCACAGGCATTCAGTCAAGACCGTGCTTCTTAATCAATGTTCTGTGGCAAGTCGTACAAATAGGCTAATACACTGAGACATGTATCTTGGCTCTCAGGATGGTCTATGTGGCCAGGGGAACTTGGGATCACTATGTTAATCATGTTACCTCAACCAAATAGACAATAAGGTAAGCATTTGGGAATGATTTTGTGTGTGTGCCACACACACACACACAAACACACACACATGCATGCACACACGCATGCATGAGTTCACCAGAGGACAATCTCAGGTATTGTTCCTGGGGTTCCATTCTTCCTGTTTTTTGGTAGAGGGTTTCACTGACTTGGAAATTGGCCTCTAGGCTAGGCTGGCCGGCCAGAAAGCCCTAGAGATCTGACTGTCTCCACCTCCCCAGTGCTGGGATTACAAGTATGCACCACCACGGTACCTGGCTTTTTTCACTTTAATGTAGGTCAGAGGATCTTCACATTTGCAAGGCACACACTTAATGATTCAATTTGTGAGTGGGGAGATAATTTACTTTTTCTTTCTTCCTTCATTCTCTTCCTCTCACCCCCACCTACTTAAAGATAAGGTCTCACTTTGTAGTCCTGGTTGGCCTGGAACTTGTTATGTAAATCAGGCTGGCCTCACAATTTTTCATTGAACTCTGAACCAATGAAGGCAAGAAATGATCTCTGCTAGCTCTAGGATATTGAGTCCATTCCAAGGTAAGATAACAATAGTGATGAAAATCTTAGCTTTACCTGTAAATAAGGTACAGTCTTCTTGCTTGGCACTGCTGAGTGTATTAGTGGACACTGAGACAGATGATCTGTTTCTAGTGAAAATGACAACAGCTGTTCCTGGAACACAGGTTCTTCATGAGACTGCAGGCACTTACAGCCGAGTCTCATCTAAGCCCACACTGTCCTCAAACCTACTAGATAACTGAGTATGAACACTGAACCCCTGATTCTCCTGTCTCTCTGTCCCATGTACTGGTATTACAGGGAGTTCTGAGGATCGAGCCCAGGATTTGCTACTTAAGCGCATCATTTCACCAACTGAACTATATCCCAATTTACTAAAGGCTATTTCTGATGGATGTTTACTGTCGGGTACGAAACAAGGCGTGCATCTCATCATTTCATCTTTAAAATCTCTAGAGGTGACTCACAGGGAAAGGGCACTTGCTTCCAAGCTTGACAACCCAAGTCAATCCCCAGAACCTACAACATAGAAAAAAAAAATCCTATTCCCACACGTTGTCTTCTGACCTTCATATGTGTAACCTAGCACAGGTATTTACCCTCACAACACACACACACATATGAAGAGGGAGAGAGAGGGAAAAAAACATGCACACCAAGTAATTAAAACAAAAAATTTAAAAGTCCTTTGAGCTGATTGTGGGGTGGGGATAAATGACTTTAATACTAACACCTGGGAGGCAGAGGCAGGTGGATCTCTGAGGTTTTGAGGCCAGCCTGGTCTACATAATTTCAGGCCAGCCAGGGAGACTTCTTCCACAAAAACAGCAACCACAAAGGCTGTGTTGGGATGGAGAGGTGGCTAAGCACTTAGAGTATTAACTGCTCTTCTAGGGGAACCAGTTGGGTACCCAGTGTCTGTGTGGGTCAACTCACAAACTCTTGTAACTCTAGTTCCAGGGGCATCTGACACATCTGGCTTCTGCTTTTTCTTTTTTCTTTTCTTTTCTTTTTTTTTTTTTGAGACAAGTTTTTTCAGTATAGCCCTGACTGTCCTGGAACTTGGTCTGTAGACCAGGCTGTCCTCAAACTCACAGAGATCCTCCTGCCTCTGCCTCTGGAGTGCTGGATTAAAGGGGTACACCACCACTGTCCAACTAACAGATACTTCAAAATAGCCCGGGAGTGGTGGCACACGCCTTTAATCACAGCACTTTGGAGGCAGAAGCAAGCAGATCGCTGCAAGTTTGAGGCCAGCCTGGTCTACAAGCAAGGTCCAGGACAGCTAGGACTGTTACATACACAAAGCAACCTTGTTTCAGGAAAAAGAAAAAAAAAAGTAAATAATAAAGTAACCATTGATTGATGTTCTCTGCTTGGATCTTCGTACAATTCAGTCTCTGATATGGCCTGGATTCAACAACAAAATGACTGCCTTGAGTATCCTTTTGAATGCTGCTCAACCCCAGATGCAAACTGAGATCAAGTAGAGCAAGACAGTCTAGACCAGCCAGTCACCTGATGGTCACTGAATGTTATTGTTAGGGTTTCTGTTGCTGTGGTAAAACACTACAACCAGCCGGGCAATGGTGGCGCACGCCTTTAATCCCAGCACTCGGGAGGCAGAGGCAGGCGGATCTCTGTGAGTTCGAGACCAGCCTGGTCTACAGAGCTAGTGCCAGGACAGGCTCCAAAGCCACAGAGAAACCCTGTCTCAAAAAAAAAAAAAAACACTACAACCAATAGCAATTTGGGGAGGAAAGGATTTACTTCAGGTTCCATTTCACAGACCATCACTGAGGAAAGTCAGGGCAGAAGTCCAGAGGCAGGAGCTGATGCAGAGGCCATGGAGAACCTTAGTAAATAAAAATGTTGTCTATTATTTGTGTTAACAAGGACTTTGACCATAAGTTGGCGTTTAAAATATTAGCAAATAGTATCACTAGCCATGGAAATGGGAGTGACTTCCCACCTAGGTAGAGAAAGCAGATTATAGCTGTGGCTAAGTCTGTGCTCTGAATAAATGTTTGCCTGGGGTTCCTTTACAGAAGAAAATAGTAAAATTTTTTTAGTGATTTTATTTTATGTGTACTGGTATTTTGCCTATACATATGTCTGTATGAGGGCATCAAATCCCCTGGAGCTGTAGTTACAGATAGTAGTGAGCTGCCATGTGGGTGCTGGGAATGGAACCTGGGTCATCTGGAAGAGCAGCCAGTTCCCTTAACTGTTCTCTCCAGCCCCAGTAATAGTTTCTTATTCTCAATCCTCAAAGGTAATAAATGCTGAACTGGGGACTTGATTCTGAGCCAAGGAGATAAATTGGTGGGTAAAGGACATGTCTTGAGGTGTTTGTTGTCTTCGCAGAGTCCATATAAAGCTGGACAATGCAAGCACTTCTGCAATCCCAGTGTTCCTGCACTGGGTGTAGTAGCTCACAGGCCCGCTGTGTGCATCCACAGTAGCAGACAACCAAGGGGCCTGTCTCTAGCAAGTAGAAGGCGAAGACCGACTGACACCTGAGGTTGTCTTTTGACTTCTGCAAGTGTGCACACCTATGCACATGATCACACACACACCAAATAGAAAAAGGAGGAACAATACAGTCTTCATTCTGTCTTCTTTGACAACTAAAGTGGGGACCAGGGTACTGGAGAGATAGCTCAGTACTTAAGAGGAACCTAGGTTTGGTTTCTAGCACCCACATGGTGGCTCACAACTATCCATAACTCCAGTATCAGGGAATCAGACTAGATCTTGTCTTCTAACCTCTGAAGGCACCAGGCACACCATGGTACACATACATACGTGCAGTTAAAGCACTCACACACTTCAATAAATCTGAAAAGAAAGAACATCTTGCCCAGGATATCACTTGAAAACATTTGAGGACTATTCAGTCCCCAGCTACAGAACAAAATGACCTGGGAGCTGGAGAGTCCCCAGTGGTTAAGGGGACTAGCTATAAAAGATCAAGAAAAGTACCCTGACACAAGAACTAAATTGAGGTGGGGGTTTTTCTCTGTACTGTGAGCTGGCCTCAAGTGTTCAATCTTCCTGCCTCAGCCTCCCAAGTATGGGACCACATGTATGTGCCACCACACCTGGCTTTTTTTCCTGTTGTGAGGAAAATTATCTTATTAACACTTCACTTGCTACAGAGTATTTTACATACATTGTCATTATAATAATAATAATAAGTAGTAGTAGTAGTATTTGTGTCTAGGGGACAGGATCTTACTTTGTAACTATTGCTGGCCTGGAATTGGAGATCTTCCCCAGTGCTGGAATTAAATGTGTGAGCCACTTAGTGCACTACCACACTTGGCAATCTAAACTCTTTGTTTTGTTTCTTGTAATTTTTCAAGATAGGATTTCTCTGTATAGCCCCGAATGTTCTGGAACTCATAGATCTGCCTGCCTCTTTCTTCCAGAACACTAGGGTTAAAGGCCTGTACCACCACTGTTCAGCTATGTTTAGTTTTTTTGTTATTTTTGGAGACAGTGTTTCTCTTTGTAGCTGTGGTTGGCACCTGATTTTGCCTGTGCTGAGATTAAACGTTTGTCCCACCATGCAGGGTCCAGTCTACCATTTTAAAATGAGCCTTTTCAAGTGTGTCAGTGACAGATTATGAAACCAAATTGTTGTGGGGAGCTGTGGTGGGCTGTGTCCCGCCACCCAGCTAGCTTTACACCCGAAATAATTGCACGAAAACTATATTTTTTTAAACACTGCCTGGCCCATTAGTTCCAGCCTCTTATTGGCTAGCTCTTACATATTGATCTAATCCATTTTTAATAATCTGTGTAACACCACAAGGTGGCTTACCAGGAAAGATCTTAACCTGTGTCTGTCTGGAGTGGGAGAATCATGGCGACTGCCTGACTCGACTTCTTTCTCCCAGCATTTTGTTCTGTTTACTCCGCCTACCTAATTTTCTGTCCTATCAGGCCAAGCAGTTTTCTTTATTAGTTAACCAATGAAAGCAACAGATAAGATATAAGACCCACCTCCATCACCAAATAACAAATTTCTAGTTCCTAGTCTTTTGCTTCCATTTTTTTCTCACCTAGTCCCTCCCTGATCATGACATAGCAAATCATAGTTAGAGTTGAACCTTCAATTTTTTTGTTACAGGTTTATTGCCAAACCCTGTGCACTCCATGTTGGCATTGAAGATAGTGTTCTCTATCGTGTTGAATCCAATGACACCCTTGAGAAGGTGTTCATATCTATTACTAAGGTAAGTAAGCAGAGAACAAGAGTCAGAAGTCGCATAAAGGTTGCTCTGTAGATGGGAATAGAACATGCCAGTAAAGGAAATGGTTCTTCAGGTTTAGGTGATCTGCTCGGTGGAGAGCCTTAGCCTCTCCGGCTGGAACTCCGGTATTTTACACACCTCTTAATTTACTCCTTAGCATCTACCTCTACCTGAATTCTTCCACTCTAAAATCAAATCCTGTCTTATTTTCCCTTTTCTTGCACCAACTTCTATTCAAGATGAGGGTAGTTCTAGTGGCCTTTGTGATTTTTGTTTGTGTTTTAACATATATATGTTTTATATATGTATGTGTGTATGTGTGTGTATGAAGACAGATGTATACATACATATTTTGAATCTCCTGGAACTTGAGTTACAGGTGGCTGTGAACTACCATGTGGGTGTTGGGAATTGAACTTGGGTCCTCTGCAAGAGCAATAAGTGCTCTTAACCACTGAGCCATCTCTCCAGCCTCATTTTTTGTTTTGTTTGTTAATTTATTTTGTTTGTTTTGTTTTTGTTTTTCGAGATAGGGTTTCTCTGTAGCTTTTGGAGCCTGTCCTAGAGCTAGCTCTTGTAGACCAGGTTGGCCTCGAACTCACAGAGATCCACCTGCCTTGGCCTCCCAAGTGCCCTGAATTCAGGGCCAAGCTGATCTACAGAGCGAGTTTCAGGATAGACTCCAAAACTACAAAGAGAAACCCTGTTGGGGGGGCGGGGAGAGAAATAGAATTGCCATTGCAACTGTATAGAAGCTTATCAAGACACTGGACAAATCTCAACTTCCTTAAACTAGCTGTGTGATGTTTTTATTTGTAAGTTAATTAGAATAATGTGAGTTTATTTAAAAATGATTTGGGGCCGGGTGGTGGTGGTGTACGCCTTTAATCCCAGCACTTGGGAGGCAAAAGCTGACAGATCTCTGAGTTCAAGGCCAGCCTGGTCTACAGAGCCGAGTTCCAAGACAGGCTTCAAAACTACTATACAGAGAAACCCTGCCTTGAAAAACAAAACAAAAAAGATTTGGGAATGAAATCTGGAAAAGATAAATACCACTTGAGTCACTGTGGTTGACACCTCTTTGCCACTCAACTAGTAAATTGGGAGTTTTGTGTTGTGCAGAAAGGAGTGCTCTAACTCTGGTCACATGTCTACAGTATCCTGATGAGAAGAGGCTGGAGGGCCTATCAAAGCAACTGGACTGGGATGTCCGAAAAATCCAGTGCTGGTTTCGCCATCGGAGGAATCAGGACAAGCCTCCAACGCTCACTAAATTCTGTGAAAGCATGTATGTGTGCAAGGGGGTAGATAACGAGAAGGGTAGGGGTACAGCTGGACTTTGGGGGGGCAGAAATTAGTTTATTATTAGGATAATAAAACAGACTCTAATGCCAAAGATAAGATTTTAAAAAGCCAAGGGGAAATGGAAATAGAATTTATGTCCTGTGCTTCTCAACCAGCTCTGCTAAGTTAGTAAACAGCAGAACCCTCATAGAAGTAGAAAAAAAGAGAACTGGGAAACTGGTCCCATTTGTTCCCCAGGTCACACTTTCCACAATTCCTTTTTGTTCCTTCTTTTCAAATAGATTGAGATAAGCATGTTGACACACACACTTTTCATCCCCAACACTCAGGTGGGTGGATCCCTAGTTCAAGATCAGCCTGCCCAAGTTTAAGGGCAAGTGATGGATAAAAAGTGAGACCCTGTCTACTTATCTTCAAAGGAAAAAAATGGGCTGGAGAGATGGCTCAATAGCACATGATACCATGATATTCCTCCAGAGGACCCAAAACTTGTTCCCCAGCACCCACATGAGGGAGCTCAACCCTCTGTTACTCCAGACCCAGGACATCTGAATCCTCTGGCCTCTGGGTACCTGTTCTCAGATGTACAAACCCTCATGTGCACATGCACGTATACACAGACACGCACATGCACACACTTTAAAAACTGAAATAATCCCAGCACTCAGGAGACAGAGGCAGGTGGATGGATCTCTTGAGTTTAAGGCCAGCCTGATCTACAGAGTGAGTTTGAGTTCTAGGACAGCCAGGCTACAAAGAAAGCCTTATTTCTTGAAAAACAAAAGCAAATAAATAAACAAACAATAAATCTTTTTAAAAAATAGATTGGGAGCCACGCAGTGGTGGCGCACCCCTTTAACCCAGCACTTGGGAGGCAGAAGCAGGCAGATCTTTGTGAGTTCAAAGCCAGCCTGGTCTACAAGAGCTAGTTCCAGAACAGGCACCAAAACTACAGAGAAACCTTGTCTCAAAAAAAAAAAAAAAAAAGGATTGAGAGTTAGTTCCAATAACTGCACTTGTACAGGGAGATAGTGGCACACACCTTTAATCCCAGCACTTGCAAGGCAGAGGCAGGAGGATCTCTGCATTGAAAAACCAAAAGAACTCTGATTTCAAGTACAGTATTTCTCAGAAAAGGAAAAATTCCCACAAAAATGTAAATATAGAGTGAGCTGGTACTGTTTCTATCAAAGGAGCAGGAGGGTACATACCTACCTATACAAGTGCAGGTTGTTTAGTTTTTCAAGACAGGCTTTCTCTGTGTAGCCCTAGCTGTCCTGGAACTCACTCTGTAGACCAAGCTGGCCTCACAGAGATCCACCTGCCTCTGCCTCTCAAGTGCTGGGATGTTGGGGTTTAAGGTGTGTGGCACCACTCCCAGCAGAATCACTTAGTTTTTAATTCTCTAGAGATAGCTGTTCGTCACTGTCATGCAATTTAAAAATCAGGTCTCATGAAGGAATCTAATAGGAAAGGAAAATCAAGCCAGTGTATTTCTGTGGGAATCTATTTTAACAGACACTCCAAGCTGAGTCTGGATTTTTAGAAATCAGTTTTGTCCCAATGTTGTTATTATGATTTCCCTTGTTTAGATTCATTTATCTAACCTGTCCTCTTTGCTCACCCAGGTGGAGACTCACTTTTTATTTATGTATATTCTGCTATGGAATTAGATTTCTCTGGTTGGTGAGTCTAAATTTTTTTTTCTTATTGTGCTCTAAATATGTCTAGATGCCTTGGTTTCTAGAAGTAAACATTAAATACTTTCAGTTGCTTATGTTTCTGTTGTGATGCATAGCCTCAGTGTATATCCAGTTTATATGCAGATTATATACTAACAGACTATCGTCTACTTTGGGTTTGACATCACTAACCTCAAGGCATACTATTTCCTCTAAATAATGTTAGTAATTAAGTCAGAGCCGTACTTAGTGATTTGCAGAGCCCTTCCTTAAATTCTTGTTCTTCCAAGAGGAAGTGGAATTGATAAAATTATTTATTTGTTTTGTTTTGAAATTCGCTCTCCTATGTAGCCCTGGCTGGCTCTGGAACTTGCAAGTTAGATTAGGCTGACCTGGAACTGCTTCTCCCTCCAAAGTTCTAGGATTAAAAGCTTGTACTATCACGCCCGCCTTGCCTTAATTTTTGAGACAGGCTCTCTCTCTCTCACTAAGCCCTTGGCTCACCTGACTTTCCCTGCCCTCGCCTGTCCTTGCACACTGCTGGTGTTGCACAGTTCTGGTGTTTTATGTGGTAAGTGAGGATTCTAACAGGTTCTCAGGCTTGGATAGGAAGCACTTTACCAACTGAGCTCTGGCCCTAGCTACCAAAATGTTGTTTTTGTTTTAATACAAGCTGTCCATCAAGAGTGGTATGGAAACCCTGTCTTGAAAAACAAACAAACAAAAAAAAGAAGAAGCAGCTCTCATTATGAAGTCCAGACTTGCCTTGAACTCGTGACAATCCTCCTGCCTTAGTCTCTCAAGTACTGGATTTAGAGGCAAGATACTGTAGTGCCTGGAATTTTTTTTTTTTTTTGAGACAGGGTTCTCTGTGTAGCCTTTGCTGTCCTGGAACTTACTCTGTAGACCAGGCTGACCTCAAACTCACAGAGACCTCAAATTCTGCCTCCCGAGTGCTAGGGTTAAAGGTGTGTGCCACCACTTCCTGGTTTATATATTTTAATTTTTTGTGTTTGTTTGTTTTTTGTTTTTTTCGAGACAGGGTTTCTCTGTAGCTTTGGAACCTATCCTGGAACTAGCTCTTGTAGACCAAGCTGGCCTCACTCACAGAGATCCACCTGCCTCTGCTGGGATTAAAGGCATGTGTAAATGTAAAATTTTTAAAGGAAGAACAAAGAAAAGGGAAAAATATATTTAAAAGAAAGACAGAAGGAAAGAAAGAACAAGGAACTGGAGCGATGGTCAGTGGTTAAGAAGGACTGCTTCTTTTTCGGTCCCCAGCACCTTTGTCATTTGCCTCACAGCTGCTGTGAATCCAGCGTAGGGGAATCAACACCCATTTCTAGCCTCTGTGTGACAGATACATACTCATGAATAAATGTTAAAGGTATAAGATGTAGAAAAAGTGGGGCAGGAGAGACGGCTCAAAGGTTAAGAGCACTGACTGCTCTTCAAGAGTTCAATTCCCAGCAACCACATGGTAGCTCACAACCATCTATAGTAAGTGTCCTCTTCTGGTCTGCAGGGATACATTGAGGCAGAATGTAAATCTTGAAAAAAAAAAGATGTAGAAAAAGAAGAACAGAGTAAATCTAAAGCAAATTAAAAAGAAAAAGAAAAAAAGAAACAATGAACAGTAAAAACTGGAAATGTAGCTAACTTAGTGAGGTCCTAGATATGATACCTAGGCTAGGACTGTGGTTTAAGGGGACAGACAATAATGAAATAGTCATTAGATAAATAATGGATAAAATTGATAAAGCCAAATGTCAGTTCTTCAAAAGGGTCTGTTAAAATTAGTAACTCCATACCAGGTGTGGTGGCGTCTGCCCGAGATCCAGTGTTCAGTCAACTAATACATGAGGTTTGGGAGTTTAAGGGCATTCTGGGCTACATAATAAGACCCCATCTCAAAAAGAAAAAAAAAGATAAACTACCTGGGAGGGAATATAAATTACTAATATGCAGAGTGTCACTATAGACTCTGGATACTACTGAAAGGTATAAAGATAATTTTGTGAGCAATTTAAAAATTAAGCAGCAGGGGGCTGGAGAGATGGCTCAGTGGTTTAGAGCACCACCTACTCTTCCAAAGGTCCTGAGTTCATATTCCCAGCAACCACATGGTGGCTCACAACCATCTGTAATGAGATCTGGTGCCCTCTTCTGGCAGAGTACTGAGAATACTGTATACATAATAAATAAATAAATCTTTTTAAAAAAATGAAGCAGCAATAAAAACAAACAAACAACATTTGCTGGGCCTGGTGGCGCACACCTTTAATCCCAGCACTCAGGAGGTAGATGCAGGCAGGTATCTTCAGTTTGAGGCAGCCTGGTCTACAGAGCGAGTTCCAGGACAGGTGGGGGATGGGAGGGAATAAAGATAGAAGGAAAGAACAAATTGCATAAAGATGGCCCTGATGTCTACATAAGTGCCATGGTACACGTGCATGCATGCACACACAATACACCTACAAACATCACACACTCAATAATAATAAATAAAATTTTTAAAAGAAACTAGGCCAAGCATGGTAGCCTGTGTCTTTAATGATAGCTATAAGAAGGCAGAAGCAGGGAGATTACTGGGTCTGTGACCAGTCTGGTCTACATAGTAAAACTTTGTCACAAAAAAGCAAACAAGAAAATAGGGTCGCTATTTTCTGGAGAGATGGCTACTACTAGGGATAAAGAGATGGCTCAGTGGTTAAGAGCACTAGCTGCTCTTCCAGAGGATCTGGGTTCAATTCCCAGCAACCACATGTTAGCTCACAACCATCTGTCTGTAACCCTCTTCGAGCCTCTGTGGACATAGCATGCATGTGGTAGACAGAAGTGCAGGCGATACACCCATACACATAAAATACATTGAAAGAGAACACATACTGCTCTTGCAGAGGACCACCTGTAACTCCACCTCCAGGGAACCTGACACCTCTGGCCTCTTCGGGCAACTGCACTCTGTACACAGACCAATACACACATAAAAATTCAAGGATTCAGATTGAGAAGTGGCACATAAGTTAAGATGCATGCTGTTCTTGTAGATCTGAATTCCATTCCTAGCCACCCACATTGGGTGACGCACAATCACCTGTAACCCCAGCTCCAGGGGATTTGACGTCCTTTTCTGGCTTCTGGGTACCCATCCACATGCACAAACTCACAAGTGTACCCATCATTTAAATAAATAAATATTGAGGGGGGTTTTTTGTTGTTTTTTGGGGGGGGG